GTGTCCCCGCGGCCGGCACGGCGCGCTCCCCGTCAAACTCGCCCACGCCGGCCCCCGCGCGGGACGACATGCTGGGCATGGTGGTGGGCGGCGCGGCTGGTGCCGCGCTGGTCGTGATCCTGGCGCTGCTGGCCGTCTGCTTCTCCTTCCTGCGCAAGCGCCGCACCTTCCGGGGCGACTACTACACCAAGCAGTACCTGGGCCCGTCGGACATGCAGAAGGAGACGCAGATGGACGTCCTGCAGCCGCATGAGCTCCAGGAGGTCTACGGAGAAAAAAGCCACAACGGCAGCCAGGAGCTCAAGTCCAAACTCTCGGCCGACCTCATCTACGGCGGCGAGGAGCGGGGCGGCGGCGGCGACGACTGGGCCGAGCGGGAGTGCGACTACTTTGCCGACGGCTACCGCGGCCAGAAGCCGCAGCACCCGTGCGGGCCGCCCGTGCTCGCCAACGGCTCGCCGTACCTCCCGGACGACTGCCGCAACAACTGCGCCGACGGCGACTACGTGGCGCACGTGGACGGATCGGTCATCTCGCGGCGGGAGTGGTACGTCTGAGCTCGGGCGCCGCGCGGCGGCGGGGACCGCTCGACCGGGATGGGGCCGGGATGCCGTTTGGCGCCCGTTGGAAGCCCTCGGCGTTGACGCGCTGCCAAAGGGAAAAGCGTCAGGAAAACAAAGGAAATGGAGCTTTTCCTCCACACTACTGAGATGTGCTCGCGCTGGCACAAATGTCAACGACACACCCGCTGGAGAGACCCCCCCCCCCATGTGCTCCCCCCCTCTCCTTTTTTTGTGGGGGGGGGGGGGCACAAAAAACCCCCATTTTGGTTGCTCTTCAAAACTCCCCCAAAGACTGCAAAGCCAATGTGCCGTCATCAATCCTGTGCCACAATCGAGACTTGGCAAGGGTGCCGCTGAGTGCAGCCGCACGATTTTGGGGGGTCACAAAACACTCCCATTTTGGTTGCTCTTCAAAACTCCTCCAAAGACTGCAAAGCCAATGTGCCGTCATCAATCCTGTGCCACAATCGAGACTTGGCAAGGGTGCCGCTGAGTGCAGCCGCACGATTTTGACACGTTGGCGGAGAGCCCGCGGCGCCGCCCACTTGGACTTTGTGACTTGCTCGCCACCACCGGAAGGAAAGCGAAGCCACAACTTTGCCGCGCACCTGTCCTGCGCCTTCTTTGTTATTTTTGTTTTTTTTTCCAAATGGTGGCACGGTCCTTTCTCTGTATGTGGCGACCAGTACAGGGTGTGCCCCGTTTCTCTCCCCAAAAGTTGGCTCGGTTTTTGCTGATTTCAGACCTTTGGTTCACTGGCGACTCCAAATTGTCCGTATGTGCCCTGGCATTGGCTGGCGACTAGTCCAGGGTGCCCCCCCCCCCCCCCCCGCTTCTCTTGCTCGCCGGGCGAGGCCGCAGCTCCTCATCAGGCCGACGAGGGCCGGCGCCCTCAAAGCGAGAAGGCTCTTCGGTGTGCCTTTGATCAAAGTCGCGCGTTGCGGACACGTGCGGGTTTTTGCGGCCGTTTTGTGCTCAAAAACAAAAATCAGGGCAAAGAACGCGTTTGCCTCGATGAGGAGGACAACGTCTTTGCGGAAACATTGTTAGCCGCTGACATCAGCGCCCGCTCGTCACAGAAAAAAAGTGCAAGAAACTGGAGAGGGGAAGACGCGTGGAAAAGTTCCCAACAAGAGGAGGAGACTCTCTCGCACTCTCTCGCTAAACGCCCTCTCAAAATCCTCAGCAAAGCGCTGACATCATCTCTCGTGCGCGCGCACACCAACTTGCACTTTTTTCCCCACTGCTAGAGGACGCGCTTAACCCTCGCAAGACCGTTCACGGCCAGTTTGAGCAAAACATACAGTGGTGCCTTGTCATACGAGTCACGCATGAGTTTTGGGACTTGTCATTGGAATGATTTGAAAAGAGGCGCCAGGCTTTTTGAACGGTGCTGGCAGCTGACGTTTAATGTCAACCTAAACATCAAACAAAGTGAAGTACACGTTGCTTATTTAAAAGAAACGGCACGACTTTGCCTTCCGCTTGCTAACGCGCCATGCAAACAGACATAGGCGGGCTAACGGGTAGCATCTCTGTGGCGGCATTTTGTAAACTTTTAAGCCACACAAATGTGCAGCAGCGCACGTAGACACGCAGACTCTCTGCAAAAAACGACGAACCTGACTGCAACTTTATGAGTTACTTGCAGTAGTTGTGAAAGTCTTTTTTTGTTTCTGTCTGTATAACTATTATACTGCCCTCTGGTGGCCAAGACGTGCACACCAGAAGAACAGTCGCGAAGTTTTCTTCTTTTTTTTTTTGTGTATATGTTCTATGCACTCCCATTAGTCTAAACACTGTCTTTTGATGACTACTGCGTTTGCGGAATAGAAATGAAGCGGCAAAATGAAGCCATTTGGATGGGTCTCGGCGAGCGGCCGATTTGCCGCTTGCAAAATGGCCGCCCCCTCGGGTGGATCCAAATAGCTGCATTTTGCGGCGCAAAATTGTTTCTGTCCTGTGAACCACGTCTGTCCATTTTTGTTGTTCGCTTTCATGGAGTGTCCCCGTTTCGGCGTCCCGATAGTTGGAAATATTTTTTTAAAATGACCAAATGGACATGCGTGTTTTTCACACGACGGCGACGAAATGCAAAATTGAGCAGAACGCTGCGTTTCGACGAGTGGGTGTGCTGGGAACATCTTGTCTTTCCCTCTCATCACGATGCACAAAAGGGTTTTTCTTTTGGTTTTTTTTTTTTATTACGTTATGCTATTTTTTTTACATCAAAAACATGACAAAACTTTTTTTTAGGTAGGATGGAATGCATGAATGGCATCTTGAGTCATTTCAATGGGGAAGAAGATTTGACATCCAAACGTTTTGAGTGTGACCAAGGAACAAACTCGACTCAAGGCACCACTGGACCCGAAAGTACCACAAAATAATTTTGGGGGGAAAAAAAAAAACCAAACCAAACCTGCAATATTGTTGAACATCTTGCCCTACTCGCTTGGTCATCTGTTGACCGATATTTGAAAAAATATTTGATTGGGAAGAGTAGCAGCCTGTTTTTTAGTGGCAAGCCCAGATTGGCACAAATTTTTTTTTTCCCCTCAGCGCGATTGGAAGGAGTGTCATTGGCGCGCAGACGTGGGCCCTTTGCGAGGTCCTCGACCCCACTCGCGCTCGTCATCCAAACGAATGGCGTCTCC